CTGAGCATAGGTCTGTTGACGCCAGCAAACCTCCCAGTGGAGACGCAGCATATACTGGCAAACAGATGCTTTTGCTGGTTTAATCTTAATCCAGTTCCCTGAGTGATACAAGCTATTTTGGTTTTTTTGCCAGTATAATTGCATCTACACTAGGGCTTGTGCTGGTATAGAGATGCGACTTTTTGGCAACATTTTTATCCGCTAATACTATGCCGGCAAGCTTCTAGTGTAACCCTGGCATTAGCATCAATGGCTTTTGCATACGATGATCATGCTGTCCAATTGGCCATCAGGTCGGCAGTAACACTGAAGAGGATGCCATGAGAGGAGATCGCAGTTGCATATTTTTTTGTTTTCTCCTTTGGCAGAAGTTTAAAGGGACTCTGTCAGCGCCTCATAAAACCAGATCATGAATAGAAATGCTTCTGTTGGGAGTCTCAAAAAAAGTGTGCAAATGTGGAAATAATGTAGTTATTTCTTTCCTATCTGCTGTTTTCTGCCAAATGCACTAGCAACTGGTCTAAAAATAGTTAAAGTTGACCATTTACACTGAATCTTTGTACTTTGTTCAGTCTTGGGGAATGACACAGTCTTGCCAACCCCAAGCATTCAACAATGGAGATTTGCTTAAATATTAAAAGTCATCATGATTTGGGCTGTTTTTCTTTCTGGTTTGAGCTTCTTGGAGTCCTGTTTTCGAGTTTTGCTCCATACTCAGGAGCATTGGAACTAACTAGGTCAGTGAAATCTGAAATTCTCAAATAGCATCCCAGCAGGAGATAGGGGGTGTAAGAAAAACTGTGAGATGAAAATGCTGGGAGTTGGCAATGCTGCTTAGGGCATTTATTGGCAAAAAGCGTAATCTGTCCTTACAACTCAGTTTTAATAACTCCGAGTGACTGTAACTGCTCTGAGTAGGAACTCGAAGTCTCTCTCTCAAATTTCCCTTCAAGTTTTGCTGTTGCAGAGTTGACTCCTTTAAATAACTGAACCTGTATAGAAGTGCAAGATGAGACCATACAGGTCACATGAATTCCTATGATCCAGGTAGGCTTTTTGTCATCTTATGGAGGTGACGCTGCAGCGCTTCAAATATGTCATCTGTCCGTGCAGACTTAGTTAAGTGCCAGCAGAGACATGGAAGGAAGGAACCTTTTGGACCTCAGTAGGACATGGCTGCTGGCTTGTGTGTCTTTATTTAGCACTGAGTATGTTGTCCCTGTTTAGTAACTGGCTGACACCTTGGTAAATGCTTGTTTCCCATACGCCCAAGCTGCCATGAGCTCCGTCTTGCCAGCTGTGAGCTCAAAAAGCCAGGTGCTAGACCCCCAAAATTGTAAGTTGTTTTTAAAAGTGCCTTTTAATTCGCCTGACTCTCTTAGGACACACCCCCATGTTTTTCTCCAAGCCCATGAGAGCTAGATGTTTTTAAGTGAAAGCTGAGATTCTCAGCTAACCACACGACTGCAGGATTTACCAAAACGGTCAATACCGCAAGAGCTGGCAACCCTGCACTGTCATTTAGATTCTTATGATGTATGGGAAAGAAGAAAATAATAAATCAAGTCTTGAAGGGAGAGAATGAGTCGGGTGAATTGCATTTTGTCCCCAGGAGGTTGTCTGTGTAAAGAAACTTTTTAAGGTGCCATACCCTGAAAATAAGCTAATGTCACGAGCTGCTGCAAAACAACCTGCCTCCCCTCTCTTCCCAATACATGCTCTCTGTCGGTACTGAAGTCTTTCTTGCTTGGGATTTTTGCCAGTACATAGCAGTTGATCACACTTGCTTATCAGTGATCACAAAGAGGAGAGGCTGCCCAGCCCCGTGAAATGGGAATCTTAGCCGGGTTTATCTTTAAACTGGTTTAAGATGTGCACGAACATCCCTAATTTCTGTGACTATTTAACCAGTTAACCTTACCCTTAATGGGTGGGGCTTACCAGTTAAGGTTAATCAGTGGGTGCTGGAGCAGCTCCACGCCTGCCGCAAGCAGGGACTAGGATCCCAGAACAGCCCCTCCCCATGGTAGTGGGGAGGTCCAGCCCAGTGGCAGGTGGCTGGAGCTGCCCCTTTGCCCACCCACCCCTCTAAATCAGTTAACCAGTTAAAAGTATTGTTAGGCAACTACACGGAATTTTCCATCCCTATTAGAAATGTAGAGGTAGGATCATTGCTAGACCCCGCAAGTTAGAGGGACACTTTTAAAGGGCAAGTACCAAGCTGCGTGGCTTGTGCTGCGGTTTCATGGGGCACATGAGGTGTCCCCAGGAGCCTGGTGGCATATAAATAGCAGGCGGCGGTGACTAGCTGAGTCACTCCTGCAGTGCAAGGGAGTCCAGCTTTGCATGCAGGAGGCAAGGTGCAGGGAGACGGAAAAAGCTGGGGCAATCCGTACGGGGCCGTGGGCGCTAGGGCTGGTTAATAACGAAGCCCCGTTCGGAAAGGCGGTGTTTCTGCTGCGTGCCTGGAGCAGCCACTACTTGGCAATCGCCTGGAAATCAGCATCCCCACGTGGGATTGGAGCGCCAAGCCTGCTCCTCCCCCTGCTTAATCAGGCTTGTTGCGGGTAGGGATATCTGTGGTTAACCGGTTAAAATCACCCTTATCAGGTGATGGTTACTGGTGGCCCTGGGTGAGCTGGAGCGCCCCTCCCCCTGCCTTCCATAACGTTTAACTGATTAAGCAGGCTTTTACATCCCTACTGGCCGGTTGCTTGAGCCCTGGCTGTTCAGTTGAAGTTGTACTAGGTGGCTCTTGTGGGAAATCAAAAGATCCAGGCATGATTCACTGGCTTGGCCTTTCTCTGGTGGCTGATCCCAGCTTGGTCCTCCGAGTTAACCGTTTTACTGCACGTGGCCGTGGCTTGTAGCGTCTTTGGGGCTGAGGTCCTTCCTTGCTCCTGCCAACCACAGTGGCCCTGGCAGAGGTGAGCATGTGGGAAATCGAGCCGATTAGAATAACCACTTCGGGACCTCTTGGCTCTTGCACACGTGCGCTTCAGCACCCCAGCGCCAGTTCTCGCGTGGCGAGCGAGAGGGGGCATTCGCGAGGCTTGTGTTTTGAACGCTCAAGTGAGGCAGCCTTTTGGGGACCGGTCCTCTTTCACAGGGATCATTTAATCTGAGTGAATGAGCAGGAGCCGTGACTGTTTGAAACGTCTGGAGTTCTAAGCACGGGGTGTGGAGTCTGTGGAGTTTACTTGCTGCTTTGTCGGTGAAGCTTTGTGTTGCTTACTTGAAACTATTGCTACATAGTCATGGGGTGGAATTCTTGTTTGCCTCGCCGGTGTCTTATGTTTAAAAAAATCTTTCTGTACAGAAGAGATCCCTGTCTCCTGAGGGGTTGAGACCTGATTTATCCTACCTTGCTGATAAAGACAAGTTGCATGTCTGATGTCTGTCTTTAAAATGACCTAATTACCAAACTGCAGTAAAACCAGTGCAGCTGCTGTGGTTAGACTAGTTTCCATTAATAAAAATGATTAGAAATCAAATTTTCTGTCTTGTGGAAATAATCTTGACGTCTGAATTATCTTTGTCCCAAGTCCAAAACAAAATGAGCAAAACTTGATTTTTTTGGCTTGAGCAAAACCATTTTTGTTTGAATAAATTCAAAATGTTTCATTTTGATTTCAGCCCCTTTAAAATGGCTTAAGTACATTTGGACCAAGACTTTGTCTGAAAATGGCAAAATGGGGTGTTCTGACACTTTGAAAGGTTTTGTTTTGTTTTTTCACATGAAATTTTATCAGATACGGTTTTGCAAACTACACTGGCATTTTCCAACCAAAAACTTTTCGGATGAAAACTTTCCAGTAAGCGCTAGGTAGAGCCTGCTTCAGTCAGAAGAAATCTAATCCAGGTTTTAACTTTAACCAGTGCTTTGTACTCTTGGCCACAGGTGGCATCAGACAAATATAAAGCACATCTTTGATCTGCGACAGAAATACATCCGCCAGGAAGGCTTGGTGCAGATTTTTTCTTTTGTGTTTGTTTTGATCCAGTGAAAAATAAATGGGCGCTATGCTATTGTTGGGACAAAAGCAAATTCTGCATTTCAAACGCTGGCACTATCAAAGCAAACTGTGATGGCAAAGTTGTGCGTCCATGGACAGCATCTCGTTCGTTTGCCTGTTCTTGTTTCTTCCCATACATAGAGCAACCCTGTGCTTGGTCGAAATGACTCCTAGAATAATGACACCAGACTACTTCTGGGGAAACAAATGATGATGATCTTCAATCTTCCCAGAGAGCACGCTGTGGTCAACAAGCCTCTTTAGTCGGTGACGGGTGCAGGAGATAAATGGCCTGTTTGCGTCCTTCTAAAATAACACTAAGAGCATCCGCTGCTTGGATGCAAAGGCCAGAATTCTCAAAAGTAGGAGCCTAATTCCCCAGCTAGGCAGCCTCACTGGTGAGAGCTGCTGGGTGCTCAAGAAGCGAGTATCTCCCGTCAAGGAAACGAGACGAAAGGTCAGGACACAGTCTCTTGCAATGTGAAACACGCAAGCTCCGAAACAGAGGGGTGAGCTTTGGCAAAGCTCTCCACCTTGGCCTAGCTCCGCTCCCAGCGACGTTGATGGCAAACATCGCAGTGGCTTCGATAGGACTAGAGTTAGGCTAACGCGGCGCGTTCTTGAGAAGCCTTCGCTCTCTTGATGAGTGTCACCCAGAGTGTCTGTGTTGCAAAAGACGAAGGCTTTGCTCTGTCTGACATTACTAGGAATGGAACAGAGGGCTAACTTGCAGGACGGAGCCATGTAAAGCCTATAATGGCTATTGCAGTGCCCCCTGCTTTTGGCTGCTTTTGCCAAGCCATCTCCATAGACGTCAAACCCCTCCGTCAGACATGCTGTAAGTGGGGGGAGGGATAGCTCAGTGGTTTGAACACTGGCCTGCTAAACCCAGGGTTGTGAGTTCAATCCTTGAGGGGGGCCACTTGAAGATTTGGGGCAAATCTGTCAGGGATGGCACTTGGTCCTGCTGTGAGGGTAGGGGACTGGACTCGACTCAACCTCTCAAGGTCCCTTACATGAGATATATTATTTTGACCTAGCAAACTGCTGTCAGGTTTGTGTGGCCAAATCTCCCTGTATTGCATAGGCCCCTTGCCTTCTCTGTGAGTGTGTGGAGGTGGGGGTAGGGGGGTGTGGTTGTCAGCAGTGAAATGCTTTACGTTTTGCAGGTGCCGACTTCTGGTGATGGCCAAATTTAATGTGGAGGTAGATTGGAAAGTGCTGTGTAAATGCTTATGACAAATGTCTACACCCCAGACTCCTGTAATTGTCAGAAGTGAACTGAACTAGAAAGTCAGTCACCCAGATCCCTGCTCTTTGGAAAAGAAGTCACTGAGTTTAAACTCCTCCCATCTCTTCCCCCAAAAAAACTTCCTGGTCACAAGAGACTCTGAAAAGCACACAAGCTCTCTGGCTTTGGGAACTGCATTCATGCTCCGTTGCCTTTGTTTATTGCTTGTGTCCCAATGATCTATTAACGTGAGCGCTGGGTTAATAGCGGATCATCGATGGTTTTGGTGGATTCTCTGTCATTGACTGTTTTTAAATCTACGCTGGATTTTTTTCTCCCCCCTAAAAGATCTGCTCTGTGAATTATTCTGGGGAAGTTTTACAGCTTGCACGGCACAGCAGATTAGAATAGGAGGTGATCATGATGGTCTTTCCTGGGGCCTTGGAATCGTTGAAATCCATGCCTAAGACTTGAAGAGAAAACTACCTCTTGCATCCCTTGTGAGTGTAAAGTGTGTTTTTTGTTTGCTTCTCTGTCTCCATCTTACTGTTACCACCTTCTCCCCCACCCTCCTGTTTCATTCGGTCTAATGCCGTTTGAGTGCTGGGAAGTTTGAGTGCTCCTTAATTAAGATTCCTAGGTCCTGCCTAATATGAATGATTTAGAGTAAAGGGTTCTGTTTCCAGACAGAGTTGCACCGAGGCAGGATCTGTTGCTTTAATTTGCAGCTGCTGTGTGAGTTGCATTTTTATTACCTCTGTTGCACAAGTCTGGCTTTTTATAGTGGCTTCTCTAGCCACCGTGAGGTTCATTTGAATGGGGCCTGTCGGTCTCTAATTTGAGAGATCCTACTGACACCTTATCACTCTCCTATCCCGTGGCTCGCAGCTGCTGCATGGTGCGCTGAGCGAGGGTCGCGTTAAAGCAGAGAGATGCCAGTTCTTCTGCAATGAATGCTGCTGGCAAGGTTTCTAATGGATTTCACCAGGTGCTGCTGTCCTCTTTGGGCTGATGGGAAACAAAACTGCCCCATACACCTATCTCAGAGCTGGAAGGGAAAGGTCATCAAGTCCAGTCCCCTGCCCTCACGGCAAGACCAAGCACCATCCCTAACAGAATTGCCCCAGTTCCCTAAATGGCCTCCTCAAAGATTGAACTCACAACCCTGCGTTTAATAGGCCAGTGCTCAAACCACTGAGCTATCCCTCCTCCCATAAATATATGGAGATATACCTATCTCATAGAACTGGAAGGCAACTGCAGTGATGAGCCTGCAGGTGCTTGGACTGTGTGTGGGGGAGGCTTTTCTGTTCCTTACAGATTATGGGGAAATGGAAAGAAAGAAAAAAGCCAAGTGCGTGGGTAACCTACACACCTACTGGGTGTGGTTCACTGTCCCGTGGAGTGACACGCCACTTACAGAGAGACACAATGAGTTTGCTCTACACGCTCCAAGCCAGCTGGCTTTTACTCAAGCTAGAGCAGGGATGGGCAGTAATTTTTGGCCGGGGGCCACTTCTGAAATCTTGGAGGGGCGGGGCTTCAAGCAGAAGGGGCGGGGCCAGGATACGTTCCTGCTTCCCCACCCACAGACCCCAGCTGTTCCCCCTAGAAGAACATGCCCCTGGTGGTGGGAGGAGACTTGGCACGCTTCCCCCTTCTGGCCCCAGGTCAATCAGGGCCTGGGGGTGGGGGAAGTGCACAAAGTCTCCTCCCACCCTGCCAGGAGCATGTGGTGCTTCTAAGTGCCACATGCTCCTTGCAGGGTGGAGGAAAATTCGTGCCCTCCCCCTGTCCCAAGGCCCTAATTGGCCTGGGGGCAGAGGAGGGACAGGGCCTCTGCTGGCTTGGTGGGCCGGATCCGGCCTATGGAGGCCATTTTGCCCACCCCTGAGCTAGAGGCTCCTGTGCTAAGCTCCAGAGGTCCCAGGTTCGGTTCCGCCTGTAGGTGTTACTTGCTCACAGAAATAACGTGAGCCCCTCTGTTTTGAGCTGCATGCCTTCAATGCCCACGGAGGGACAGCGATGAATGCAGGGATCTCCGCGGATTCGAAAGTAAGACTACTGCAAGCACGGCCAGCATCTGTACCAAAACTGTAGCAGGAAGCAAGGCAGGATGTGGGGAAGGCTGTAGGCAGAAGCTGTGCCGTGAAACAGGAAGGGTAGCCTCCTGGTTATCATGTTGCATGCAGCGTTGTAGCCACGTTGTCCCAGGATATTAGATGTCCTCCTGTCTGGGAAAGGCCCTCTTTGTCGTAGCTTAGCAGAAGCCCACGTTGGATCCCTTAGTACGTGGCTAAGGGATCGTTCAAGATGAGGTAGCCCGTTAATCCCCCCTGTGGTCATAGGACCAAAAGGGGCTACAGCTTTCCCGGGTGAGTATTTTGCAGATTTTGGCTAGTTCCCATCGTCTTGACCGTGACCCTTGTGGGATATAGAAGTGAGTGATCCCGGAAAAGGTATTTCCTCACCCATCTTGTCTCTCTTCTGTGCTCCTTATTCTAACCAGGTTCCTTGTGTGTCGTTGGAAGAAAGCATTGCTTCGTGGGATTCCTCTGCGCTGTAGCATGACTGATCCCATGAGGTTTCTAGTTAACGGGAGGGGCATTCGCCACGGGCAGCCAACAGTAAAATAAACTTCCAGAGGTGATCAAGGGCGTTCCGGATCTGACCACCTTGAGGAAACTCTGCAAAAGTTTCCTCTTGAACCAGACTTTCCACCACTGAATAGCTCCTGCCACTCTGGTCCCTACTTTTCTATTCAGTAAACCCCAGTCAGCCAAAGAAAACCCCTACGGGGAAGACAAATTTTAAATCAAACCTTTACCCTGAAAAGGGGAACCATTCCACGGAGTCCACGGCTGTGAAGTCTGCTCTATTATAAATTCTACTATCCCACCAAATGATGTTAGCGTTTTAATTGCTGACTAGATTATAGCATGGGAGGAAGTGATACTCTGGAAAGGAGATGGTGGTGGCCAAGCTACCACTGACTGGGTTTTGGGGGCTTTTTTAAATTTAATAGATCAGGTTTTCACTTCTTCTGGAAAGTTCAGAACCCCCCCTCTCCTGCCCCAAATTTTCTGGTTTCGGTGGAAACCCAACACTCCTTTTGTGAACGTTTCCCCTAAACGCAACATAAAATTTAACCCAGTGTTCGATTCCCATTTTGATATCAAAATGCAGCATTTCGGTTTTGCTTAAATAAATAAAATGACCAATCCTCTCCATTAGGATAAGCCTGTGATTTTAATGTCTCCCCTCTAGGCTGCTCCCTAGGTATTGAGTTCCCCAAAACATTGGGAACCTTTGCTCCTTGTTCAAGGCCTTGCCACAAATCTTTTCCCTTGCCAATCAGCTCTGTCTCTGCGCACAACACCCATGTAGTCACTATAATGCTTGTTGGAAAAATCAGGTTTTGTCTTGAAACTAGAACCAGTAGGCTTGTGGGGCAAAGTCAGTGTCCTACTGTCGTGATCTTATCTCAAACTTCACCCACAATGCATCTCTGGCTGTAAGCACTCTGACTTTCCAAACACGTAGCTTTTAATTCTCTCGCATGGACTGCTCACGTAAACAAAGTTCTGCCTGCAGGATTAGGGCCTTGGACAATATTTTCTTCAGGGAAGGTTTCTTATCCTAGCTTGGTAAACAGTAGTCCTGTAAAACACCCTGCATGCCCTTGAGATTACGTGAGCAACACTCTTCAGCTAACTTCTAACGGTAAAAGCACTCCAGCAGTAGGAGGTAGCAAGTTTACTCCTGGGGGAAATTCTGGATCAAAACCACTAATTTCTGGGCAGGATATTTTAAATTTCTGGGCATGATGGCCCCAGCCCCATGCATGGTGGGACTGTGTCAGCCATGGTGGGACTTTGCATGGCTGACAATGGGAGATTACAGATTCTGCGGGGAAGAAATAAAATTCTGTGGGGAATCTGGATTCTGCATGGCTCAGAGGTGCAGAATTTCCCCAACAGTAGAAGGTGCCCTGCCTCAAATGACAAGGGTGCCTAAGAAAGACGGGGGATTTGCTTTAGCAGCACCAACTGCTCCCTGTTGTTTTCCAGTCCTAAATCCAGCAATGGAATGTTTGCCCCATCGAGGGAGTGGAGAAATCACTATAGGGCTAACCTAAGGGTAAGGCCCCGTCCTACAATGACTGGGGACCCACAGAATATTCCGTGTTGTAGAGAAGAGCATCCGATCCTGACTACCCACAAAATATTCTCTGCGGTTTAACCAGTGAATTGATTAAAGTGCAGCTACCTGATGCTACAAACCCCTTTTCTCTTTACCATCATGCTTGAGGAATGAAGGAACCCGGAGCTCTGTGGATCTTGGCTGATGGACAGCTTGTTTAATTAACCTATTGCCCATCTGGGCTAATCCCCTCTTCGTTCCCCAACAATCCCATTATTAAAGCACCTGAAAGGCTAGAAAGCTAAAGGTCTGTGCCCCAGGTTGGGGGAGATTTCTCTAGGCCAGACTTGACTGGTGCTTTTCCTTCCAATCCATCTCAAAGCAGAGTTCGTGATCCTTCATTTTCTCTCAGACCCTGGCTTCTCACCTGCTCCTGAATCACTCACTTTCCCTCTTGCTGCTTCTCCGCTCTCAAGTTGCTGCTGACTCACGACATCTCTGTGCAATAATGTTCCTATTGTTTTTCCGTGAGCTGGCTGTGCCAACCTGACTGCATTGCTAATGTTACCGGAGATGGGCTCGCAGCCTGTAAGGAGAGGGACGTGGGCCAAACATAGACTGGAAGGCTGACGTGGGAGGGGGAGTACGGCATAGTGGACAGGACTACGCTAAGCCAGTTGAAATGGACGCAGTTCCTAGCTCTGCTACAGATTGCCTGCGTGGCCTTGGCCAAGGCACTTAATCTCCCCAATGCCATCTCGCAGCAAAAGCTAAAATTCCCCTATCTCACATGTTCCATTAATAATCCCAAGGGGGATAGATAATTGCTTGTCGGCAGTGCCATGGAAATCGATGAAATCCATTGTGACACTGTCTCCTTTGCATTTTAAATATCTCCTGTACATCTCTGGACTCTGTAAACATGACTTCAGCCTCATATGGCCTGGACTCTGGCGCCCAAGGGGTTAATTTGAGCTCCATGCCGATGTGCTCCATGAAAGGCTTTAACCTCTCTGCTTTGGGAGGGTTGGGTTCAGCCCGGGGGTGTAGAACTAGTTAGAACTGCAGGCTCAGCCATTCTTTAACGCTTATTTATTACTGGAAATGCTGTTTCCATATGGGCTGTCTTTGCAGACTGCGGCTGTGTTCTGTTTTCTCGGTGTAGTTGTTTGAGCACTTTGCAGTCACTAA